CCCCAAAACCCCAAAACCCCAAAACCCCATTAAACTAGATAAAATCATAGCAATGTGGAAAAAAAGATCATAATTTTCCTTATTATTATTTGATGGCGAATGATTTTTAATTAAGAATTAATTGTAGTGAATTTAATCTTTTAATATGGCAGAGAATTCTCATAATGCAAATATTTTAGTGCAAACTTTCTCAACTAATTTTACAATGTAATAGGAGTCTTCAGTAATTTAGTAATCTCAAAGGAAAGATAACTCGTAATCAAGGATCAATCATGTCAGTAACAGTCCTTAGTAGAACATTAGCATCAATCCAATGTTTGATACAACAATATAATCTACAATGCAAGCTTCACCTTAAAGTATTTAAAGTAGTTTTCTAACCATATAAAAAGTTGGAGTCAGTTCAGTGTTCTAAAAATACGGCAAAGCATAACAGAAGTAACCTTGATAAGAAGTATCTAGATCTAAATATACTAGTGATAAGGGAGACATCAAAATAGAGGGTATAGTTTCACCCAAAAGAAATAAGCAAGAAGCCTCTGACTATTAGCAAATGAAGAGAAAACAATTGGAAAATTAATTATCACCTCCAGGAAGTAGTGTCAATCTTGATCTAGGCGATAAATAATATAATATAAGCGAAGAATCAAAGATTAATTCAAGTATTCCGTAATTTCCTAAGAAATAATCGAAGCAACAGCACATACCATATTTATTTGATCCTTCTCCAAGGACATCTAAAAACACCTAATTTACAAAAAACTCATAAAATTCTTTCAAGACTAATAGAGTTTAGCCTTCGACAAGTGGGACTAACAATTAAAAGTATGTTCCCTAAAATTTAGTTACAAACAATAAGTTTGAATAGAGGAATAGTGTGATGATAAAAACATAAAAATCTCCCGGAATAGAAGGAGCAATAAGCTCTACATCAATGTCTATTCAAGCAAAAACTAATTCTGGGAATAAATGCAGGAAAGATGAATTACAAACAAGATCGCTTAATAGCAATAATCCCCTTCAAGCTTCTAATTTTGATGACATGGACACAAATTACGGGATTGAAAATGATAGATAACTTATTAGAAATAGCTCTTAAGGATCAAATAATAAAAAGATTCAGAAATCTATGAGTGCGAAAGAAGAAGTTTTTCAAACTCTTGGAATGGGAATTTCTAGTCCGGTGCCTTTAGAGGATAAATATGGAAAGATGACACAGAGGATAACTGAGATGGATGATAACTTATATACTACAGACATGGTAGATGAATTCAACGAAGGACATAAGTATTTGCATGAGCATATAAAATTTGATCACCAAAGCATGTTCTTGAAAGATGCGTCAGATAATTCATTTTAATCTATGAGACCAAATAATGATCAGATGAGAATTAATTAAATAGGAAATATAAACTGGAATAACTTAGTTCATGAATACCGAACATAGTAGAGCCCATCCAAAAAGCAGAGAGAAGATTAAAATCCCAAATTAAAAAGGATAAAAAAAGAGCTTTTGTAAGAAGTTAAATTGATATAATAAGATGGTGAAGCTATCGTTGCCAATCAAGGAAAAGGTTTTTTCTCCAGAAGTGATCCTTAAGATATTTCTCCAGCAAATTTAGAGCTTTTACTTCCATAGTATTAAGAGGAAAACATCTATGAATATCCTGTAACAATTGAGTTTGATTATCAAGATGAGAACAACCTATGCCATAAAATAAGTTTGCAAGAAAAATCTACGCTTCTAAGATCATTTATGCAAATTAAACAGTTAGATGTAAAATATATGTTTTCAAAGTAATATAGGAATTAACTGAAAGATAGAAGTACTTTGAGGTCCATTGGCATTTACCCTATCGTCCATTAAACAACTATAAGCCTAATCCAAAACGAAAATTTAACCCTACTCCAATAATTTATCAGGAGTAAATATAATCATTATCAGATTAAAACCTCCTTGATTTGTAAATGTAAATTACTGCAAAACAGACCAAGGATAATTTTAGCTCTGTTTCGGAAAGTTAAGAGCAGCAGAGGCGCTAATCAATGATGATTACTAGTAAGAATAAATATCTATGTAAGTTCTATTGCTATTAATTGTTGAATTTCATTTTTACCAAAATTCATTTAATATCTGTTTAGAGCAAGTTAAAGAGCATAATATAAGCTAAGTAATGCCTGTTTCAGGATTACCATAGCTATAATTATCTCTGAATCAAATGCTGAGCATAAAGAGGGAATAAAACATTGGATTCATTGATCCAGTAGGAAACATTATTTTGACGCTATGAGAACATCATGTCGACATCACTCAAGAATAGAATCTCGGATTTTTCAAGAAGATAAGTCATAATGAAAAGATGAAGGAAATCTATGAGTCTATCATTTAGCCTCTTTGTAAGAATGCCAGTATTAATCGTTAAATATTTAGACATAATGAGGGAAATATGTGATATAGAGCAGATGAAATTCCAAATGTGGGGTGCCTATGAGGATCGCGTTCAATAAATTTTAAATTGGAAACTCTTTGAAAATGACGAAGAATTTCCTACGTATATCAATAAGATATAACAAAGCTATAATATACAGTTGAACTATAATTAAAAAAGTAATTGACATGCATGAATAAATAGTAATAACTATTCAATCAGATTTTTCATAACTTTTGTACTCTCTATATTTCTATGCTTTGGGGTTTTGGGGTTTTGGGGAGATCGGAAGAGCACACGT